ATATTTTTAAAATTTGTCTTCAAGCTGTGGGTTACAATCTAGAGCCAACTTGGCGGTTGGACATAAATAAGTGCAGAACAGGACACATCACTGACAGGATTGCGATGGAATCACAGATGGATGTTACGAAAGCAAATTCCGAATGTGCCACCACAATAACAATTGGGAACCAACAATTCATGCAATGCCTTTTCTTTGCTGTTTTGCACACTGTTACGTTGTAGACAATTTGACAAGCTTCAAACCTGAAGCACACACACACACACACACACACACACACACACACACACACACACACACACACACACACACACACACACACACACACACACACACACACACACACACACACACACAGAGTTTGAACATTTGTAGAATTATTGAACAAGAAAATTCATTTTAGATACTGTACGACTGATATTTTTATTTATATCCAGGACTTAACAAAGTTTTAGGACACAGAAATGAAATGTTATTATTTCAGCCTGAAAGGAGTATCAAATCTCATAGAATGTTTAACGTTTGACATCCCAACCACGAGACTGGAGGAAGGAAGCCTCGTGGTTTGATCAGGTTGTGCAACATAAGATGGGCTATTGATTGCAGTGAAGTAAAATAGCAAAGTGATTCCCCCGATTCTTCTTGATATATGTCAGCTTATGTCACCACAAAGGTTGAGTGTATTACAAACGGTTATACAAATATTCAATCACAAGCACCTGCCTCCTACATGGCGCGAGTGATCGAGAGAATCAGCCCCCAACACACCTTAAAAAATAGTTTCCGCGTTTTGAGATAGGAATCGCTGAATACAAGTTAATTGTTCGAGAGGCGGCGACCCCGCCACACACACACACACACACACACACACACACACACACACACACACACACACACACACACACACACACACACACACACACACACACATTGTGGTAGTACCGCTCCACGGTATTTATAATTCCAAATACACCACTGAAAATAGACAAGAGGGCAATCCCCGCTGCCAAAATGCGGTGCGGGTCGTAGGTGTCTCAGTGGATTGGAGCAAGCTGAACTGGAAGCCGTCCATTATAAAGCAAATAGTTCCAGTTCAATTCGATGACCGCTAACATGGCAAAATACACATCTAGACGTGAATATTTATTTATTTATTTATTTTACCTGACACACTTTCCGTCTTCTGTATGCAGTCTTCCAGACGGACACCGAGTTGGAGCGACTTCGCTGTATGTGAGAGTAGCAGCATTAAAACATACACTTGCGCTGTGTCCAGATGAATTTTTTTTTTTTTTTTTTTTTTTTTTACCAGCACAAACTGAAAAAAATAAAACATGTGAGCATGTTGGGCTCCCTGTCAAGCTCTGGTTGTAAATCATTGGTTTATTTATTTATTTATTTATGAAGGATTTTGGAAATGCACATTTGTTTTGGTTGGACAAGCTTCAATTGTTGGGGCACTTTTGATTGTAGTGAGAGTAACAACAAGCAGAAGTCACAAGTATGTGATTTTATATCTGCATGGCAGTATTTCACATACCGGTGCCATTTCTTTTCAGGTTGCCAGCATAAGGACTGGGACAATTTGTCTTAGGACACAGTGGATGCAATGAATGAGTTTTGTTTTTAAAGAACTGTATTTTACTTTGAAAGGAATAATCTATTTATTAATGCACAACATTTTGTTACAGCTGTTTTTTTAAGTTCCCTCGAAATAAGATTTCGTGAGAGACCAAGAGAATTGCCTTGACTGGGGACGGCCCGGTGGTTGACTGTTTAACACATCGGCCTCACAGTGCAGAGGTGGCAGGGTTCCTTCCTGTGTGGAGTTTGCATCTTCTCCCCGTGCCTGCGTGGGTTTTCTCTGGGTACTGCGGTTTCCTCCCACATTCCAAAATCATGCGTGACCGGTGAATGGAGCACTCTAAATTGTCCATCAGTGTGAGTGTGCAGATGGTTGTTTCTCTATGTATGCCCTGCGATTGGCTGGCAACCAGTTCAGGGTTTTTTTCCCCGCCAACTGCCCGAAGACAGCTGGGATAGGCTTCAGCGTGCCCCCCCCCCACCCTTGTGAGGATAAGCGCATCAGAAAATGGATGGATGGATGGATAGCGTTGACTGATGCCATGCGAGAAACAAGCCTGAGTCACTTTGACCTCCTGTTTCCTATCATTTGATTGTACACTGTACCCTCGTTCCTTCGCTGTTCAGTTATTGCGGACTCACTCAATCACAGATTTTCATTTGTGACCATAATTTCATCTATTGCACAGTTTTACCTCTCGTCGTTCAAATGTGCTGTTCAGTTATTCAGAGTGCCCCCAAAAAACTGAGCCCAGATAGTAAACAGCCGCATGAAGAAATAATGATCAGAGCACACTCTGCCTCTGACAGCAAACAAAGGACGCCGAAACATTGGCAAATGCAGTCAAACCTCGGTTTTCGTCCATGATCCGTTCCAGAAGGCTGTTCGAAAACCGAAATTGTTCTAAAACCGAAATCACGCTCTTTTTAAAAAAAAAATGTTTATTGAACACATCTGCTCACAATGGAAAGCGACACAAGGAAGCGTCACTTCCTCGTCTACCAGAGGAAGCGTCATTTCCTCGTGTAAGGAAGGCAAGAGGAGTCAAGTGGTGCATTCAAGTGTGCTCACTTTGTTCGAGAACCGAAATTTGTTCATCATCCGAGGAATGAAAAACTCAAAATTTTTGGTTGAAAACCGAATTGGTCGAGAACTGAGACGTTCGAAAACCGAGGTTTGACTGTAACTACGTTAAATGTTTTGTTAATGTGTCTTAAAACAGTTTACCCTAAGTAGAATCCGGCATCGCATTGTCGCGAAAGGTATAATCCTGGCGGATTAATATGCCTTTTACATCCTTGTTGTTTTGCTGTTTTTGTTGTGCAAAGCAAAAATAAGTTGCGATTACTATTTGCACCTGAAATGCTTCTTCTTTGTCATTTTTAAGAAAAGGGAGAAGAAGACAACGTGTCAACAAAAAAGAAGCAGCATCAACAACAAGGATCTAAAAGGTGCATTAAAACACCAGGATAGTACCTTTAGCTACAATGCGACGCAGGAGTCTAATTACTTAAGGTAAGCCATTTTAGGCTAGGAAAACCCCCCCAAAACTTGACATTGTTGTTCGCCAACATTCTGTCGTCCTTGACCGCTGCCAAGTCATGCACAGCTCACATCAATTTATGAATAAAGTCGAGAGCTTGGTATTTATTCTTCATTTTACATTTTCAAGGTATAACAAGTGTTTAGGAGCGTGAGAACTGCGTGTGGGGCCATTTTTCCTTGCGCACATAAAAATGTGTGACTCCACGTTCTTAACTGGATTTCAACTGCTAATGAAAGCCATAGCAAAAGAGACAGTCACAGTGATACAACAGCCTTGTGCAAGTCACCTATTTGTGTCAAAGAGGCGTAATGTAACAGGATCAAGATGTACAAGCATGGAATTTAACCATAAAACAGTACCACAAAGGATTGTGTAAGGAATCCTTGTAAAAATACAAAAAAGTATATTCTTAAACAGTGTATCGAGGTTGGGTCGATATTTTTAGCCATGAGGTTCTGTCCCTAAAAGATGATTTGAGGGGAGATTTTTCAAATTTTGATACTTGGTCCTGTTTCTTCAGTTACATTTGTTCGGTGGTTCTCAAACTTTTTTCAATGTACCCCCTTGAACAATTTTTTCAGCCCCCCCCCCAAAAAAAAAAAAAAAAATAATATCTATCTATCTATCTATACAATACAATACAATACATGCTGATTTATATAGCGCTTTCACAACAGCGGCAGCTGTAACAAAGCGCTTAACAAAACAGTTAACATAAAGTAAAATAATAAACACAACACATAACATAAAACACGGACAGTCGTGCAGTCCTAACCACTTTTCCGGGACACGCTTCGTTGTTTGAAGCAGTTTGAGATGAAAGAGGAGAGAATCAAAGTGTCCTTTCACCAGTGGATCAGAGACGTCATGCTCAAAATGTGCACACGTTGGCTACAAGCTAAGTTTCAAAGTCAACAAGCTGTAGCATCCATTGACGAAAAAAGAGATTGGTTCACTTCTCCTGTCCCATGGAAATCCATTTCAATTCCAAGCGGCGA